AGATCCAAATGAATATTGACCCTTTGAATTTTGTTACCTGGTAAAGTTTATCCATTTATTCCAATGATTTTCCAGTTTTTAAGTTTTGTGTTTTCTCATTTAGGATTACAGTTAAAGCCTTACCAATATTCCTGTCAGTATATTAAATTATATTTTTATTTTCTGAAACCAATTTTCACAAAGGGCAAGATACCATTCAGAACTGCATCAAAATGAGTTTATGTTAACTGGGGAAGCAAAAAATAGGGAAAAGGAAGGAGAGAGATGATAATGCTTGCAAAACTTGAAGGATGTAATCAGTGTGAATTGTGCATGTAGAAACTGTGACTTAGTATGTGTTTTGCCATGTATACCTTTAACAACAATAACTAAAATACATTTAAATAAATAAAAGAACCATATCAGGTAAACAAAATGAATAGTTACGAATTTAGGAATAAAGTTCTTAAGTGACCCATAGCAACCCTGTATTAGGGTTTCCAAGGAGTGGCTAGTGGGTTTGAATCGCTGATCTTGCAGTTCAAACTGACCTTGCAGTCCAGAACACTATCCTGCAGCACCACACAGGAATAATACATGGCTCTAAAATAGCAAGGCATATTGTGTTACAGCTTGTAAAAACGGGCTCCAAAGCAATTTACAAAAATTTTGAACAGTGGCATTGTTTGAATAAATGTACTCCCTTTTTGGATGAGTGCTTAAAGAGTATTTGATATATACATTTTGATTCATGTATTTAAATTTTATAATCTTTACTTTATAGTTACATCTTTATAACTTGAGGGGGTTCCAAAGAAAAACAATGAAGAAGAATACATGACTTTGCCAGTCACCTAAAAATTGAACTCAGGCAGTTAATGAATAACAAGGATGTGGAGAGGATATCTCATGATACTAGGTGTAACAAATAGAAACCTGAGACAGTCTAGGGTTAGGATCATAGGCTTTTAAAGGCAGGAGATTATCCTGAACATTTCAGAAACTTCCTATGGATCCTTTGGGCTTTTATTTGAAGAGGGAAATTATAGCCAAGGTGTTTAAGATACACACACATACAATTTTATATCCATACTATTTTTATAACTGTAAACATTCAAAATCATAAAAGTGCAGATGAGAAAAAAGCTATTTGTAGGTATACTTATCAGAGAAAACCTCATTAACCTTTTGTTAACTTTGTTTCTCCTGTTATTTTATAACATTGAGATTATACTGAATTATAGTTTTAAATATTGATTTTTTTTCTTTTTAGAATAATGTATCATAATTATTTTTTCAAGTCATTAAAATTCATCATGAACAAAAATTTTAGTAATCTTCTAGCTTTTATTGTAAGTTCCATGTGGTTCATAAAGTTTATTATATTGTTTGACATTTATTATTCAAGAAATAAAAACTTGCATGATTTTCCCTATCACATTCATGGTATCTGAAAAAAAGTATGAAGTATAGACCACAGGAATCTGATGGGATGCATTTTATTGGTTCAGTAAGAAAACAAATCCATTGTTGAGTTGATTTGGACTCCTGGTGACCCCGTGTGTTACAGGATAGAACTGCTCCTGAGTTTCCTTGGCTGTCGTGTTTGCAAAATCCAATATCCAGGCCTTTCTTCTGTAGTTCCTCGGGTGGGTCTGAACTCCCAGTCATTAGGTTAGGAGTCAAGTAGTGCCACCTGTGGACCTCTTGGTTCCATTGTTGTTTGTTGTTAAGTGATGTTGAGCTGATTCCAACTCATAGCATCCCTGTATAGATATCCAAGGAGCAGCTTGCGGTTTTGAACTGCTGACCTTGTGGTTAGCAATCCATTGCTTATGCTACAGCACCACACCAGGACTTCATAAGCCTTATTTATTTATTTAGGTTCTGACTCATACCCACCCTTGTATAGGATTTCCAATACAAGGAAATTGTGAATGGAGTGAAGGTTTAGACATGATCTTCAGTTTCGCATTCCACAAACCATACAGTTTCCTCTCAGTGATTGCCATCCCCTCCATGCAGCAACAGTTGCCCCCGCTTCCTTCCGACTCTCACTCATAGTGACCCTACATAGCGTTTCTGACCTTGCTGTTCAAATTAACCTTGTGGTCCAGTGCTTATCCTACAGTGGCACACTTGTGGTTATCTATGTACAAATATCCTCTTTTAAACTCATATAGATTTGTGGGATATATAAATATATATACATCCCACTCTGCCTCCCATACCTGTTCAGCCTGTGTCTCTGTCCATGTTGTTCCAAGGTTGTGTATATGTCACTGTTTACCTCTATTCCTTGCATACTTCCCTGTGTCTTCACTTACCTTCATCATTCTTTTGCTAAACTCCCTCTTCTTGCACATTACCCTCCCCATCATCTGAGTTAACACGTGTCTACTCTCTAGGCAGTGAATTACTCTCCTTCCCTCCCACCCTGGTAACCATCAAAGAATGTTTCTTATACTATGAAAACCATTTTTTCTTGAGTTTTCAAAATAGTGGTCTCATACAGTATTTGCCCTTTTGTGTTATTTCACTCAGCATAATGTCCTCCTGGTTCATGTTATGAAGTATTTTCCAGTTTCATTATTATTTTTCAACGTTGCATAGTGTTCCATTGTGTGTATGTACCAAAAGTTTGTTTATCCACTCTTCCATTGATGGGCATTTATATTGGCTCCACCTTTTTGCTGTTGTAAATAGTGCTGTGATGAACATTGGTGTGCATACATGTACTAGTGTCTTGGATTGCATTTCTTGTAGATGCATGACCAAGTACAGGGATTGCTGGGTCACACAGGATTTCTGTTTCCAACTTTCTGAAGAAGCGCCACACCATTTTCTATATGGTTGAACCATATAGAACAACCCCAACAGCAATGTAGGAGGGTCCCAGTCTCTCCACATCCTCACCAGCGTTTGTTGTTTTCTGTTTCATTGAACTTTGCTATCAAGGCCTTATGTATTATTTGTAAATAGTTCTCTTTGCTAATAGGCAGCTCTTGTTGCATTCTTGGATACAAAACTAAGGGAAAAGATTTCTTCTTTCTCTTGCTGAAGGTGGTTGGAGGCAAAGTAAAGAAGCCTGGTAAACGTGGTCGGAAGCCAGCCAAAATCGACCTGAAAGCAAAACTTGAGAGGAGCCGGCAGAGTGCAAGAGAATGCCGGGCCAGAAAAAAGCTGAGGTATCAGTATTTGGAAGAGTTGGTCTCCAGTCGAGAAAGAGCTATATGCGCTCTCAGAGAGGAACTGGAAATGGTAAGAAAGTCTGTCAATAAACCCATGAAATAACCCCAATCTAGCAGTCAAAAAACTATACTTTAAACCATGACAATATTGGCTTTTACCTACTCAGTTGGCAGACAGTGGAAAGGGTATTATTAATCTGCTATTGGTCTTGTTAAGTGTGGTTGAGTTGGCACCGACTCAAACCCTAGCCCTGTATAGGGTTTCCAAGGAGCAGCTGGTGGGTTTGAACCACCAACCTGTGGTTAGCAGATTGGTTAGTTATTTAGGCAGATAAGCATTTTCATATACTGTTTGTGGGGGCTGAATGTATATGACTATTTAATTGAGGAATTATTTATAATAGAAAAAAGTGGGAAATAACCCATGTATATTACAGTGTTGATTGATTAAATTAATTATATTCATATGTCAGACTATTTTGCAGCCAGTACGAATCACCATGTATGTGTGGCACTGTGGGTTAATGCGTTGGACTGCAAAATTGGTTTGAACCTAAAGGTCGGTGGTTCAAGCTCACCAGTTGCTCTTTGGAATCCCTATACAGGGTAGCTATGGGTCGGAACCAACTCGACGGCACTTAACAACAAGAACAAATCACCATGTGCATATTTTTCTTACTAACTTAGAAAGCTATTCACAATATACTTCTACTTTGAAAAAATATGCAATATGCATGGTACAAAAGAGAGGGCTTCAAAAAGTTCATGGGAAAATTCCATCTTTTAACTTCATTTTTTACACAAACTTTTAAACACCACCTCTAATTTCCTTAACATGTTTTATTCATTCATTCAGATTTTGTGCAGAAATGTAAGAGTAGATAAAAGAGAATTAAAGCTCCATTACTGTGAACTCAAGGAGCTCTGGTAGCGTAGTGGTTAGGAATCAGGCTGCTAACCTCAGGGTCAGCAGTTCGAAACTACCAGCAGTTCTGCAGGAGAAAGATGAGGCTTTCTGCTTCCATAAAGATTTACAGCCTCAGAAACCCTGTACAGGGTCGCTATGAGTCAGAACCGACTTCACGGCACATAACAACAACAACTGTGAATTCAGAAAGGTGGCAGGGAGGAGAAGAGAGACGGGACTACCAGGGATCTCACCTAACTGGAATCAGCTACCTCAGGCGAGAGATAAGTTAGGCATGAGGAGACTATTCAGTAAACCATTTACTTTAATCTATGGAATTTGATTCTTGCTATAAATTGTTTTGTTTTTCCCTTCTGTGAGGTAATGAATCACCTTCCTGTTGCCCTCGAGTTGGTTGTGACTCACAGCATACCTATAGGATCTGCCTCATAGAGTTCCCCAGGCTGTAATCTTGACAGAAGGAACTTTAGTGGCACAGTGGTTAAGTGCTCTGTTGCTAACCGGAAGGTCAGTGATAGGAGCCTGTCAGCTGTTCTGTGGGAGAACAGTCTTAGGAACTGTGGGGCAGTTCTGCTCTGCCCTGTAGGGTTGCTATGAGTTGGAATGACTTGATGGCAAGGTTACTTATTTATTTATTTTTGGTTTAATCTTTATGGAAGCAGACTGCCACATTTCTACCCCAATAAATCACTGTGTAGAGATCAATTTGGCCATTATCCTTGGTTCCTAAGAGATAATCTTTGGAATTTTGAGTAACAGAGGTTTTCTTTGTTATCTATACCTAAAGACTATGTAAGCATTTGAATAGGGGGCTGGGGACTGGCCAACCCAATAGGACCACCTTGTAGCCTGATATCAGCTGACCTCAGAGAGTAAGAGAAAGATAGGGAAGCATGAATCTATCATGCATATATAATAAAATCCCAATTATGACTATACAGTGACTGTAGACTAAGGTCAGATGAGAAGCTATGGCAAAATCTGGGAACTGTGATTGGATCTTAAAGTGAAATGGCATTGGTGGTAACAATTTGATAAAGGTAGGGTAGGTATAGACAGGCCTTCTGTGCAATGATGAGGAATAAGAACTTCATCTTAAGTACCCCAGGCAGGGTTTTAACTGGAGCGAGAGATATGATTATACAAGTGGCGTTTATCTTTTAATCCCATTTTCTATTAACTTTCTGAAACCCTCTCATGTTTGTTTGACAATAATCACTGGGATTGCAGTGTGGAGAGTGGATTAGAGTGAATCAGTGAGACTACGTAGAGGCAGGAGACCCTTTAGGAGGCTGTGTAGTTGGCTTGAACCAAGGAGGTGGCAGTGCAGATGCAACAGAAAAGCTAGGGGTGGAGGTAGGTGTAGTGTGACACCTAAATGTCTTGCTAGTTGAATGCTGGTTCTGTATGTTGAAGATAGGGAATGTAGATGCTGCAGAATGGGCTTGGTTAGGACAATTTTTTGGCATGTTTATTTGAAATGTCTATGGAAGATCCAAGAGAAGGGATTTAGTGGTGAATGGATAACTGAGTCTACAGATATTTTCTGTAAGGGGATCATTGTTAGGTGTGTCTGTCTAGTCGATTCCAACCCACAGCAACCTTATGTACAAAAGAATAAAACAGTGCTTGATCCTGCACCATCCTCAAAGTGGTTGCTATGTTCGAGCCCATTGTTGCAGCCATTGTGCCAATCCACTTAGTTGAGTCTTCCTCTTTTTCACTGACCTTTTATCAAGTATGATGTCCTTTTTGATAATACACCCAAAATATATTGAAAGCAAGTCTTGCCATCCTCCCTTCTAAGAAACATTCTGGCTGTATTTTTCCCAAGGCAATTTCTTTGTTCTTCAGGCAGTCCATGATATATTTAACATTTGCAAACACCATAATTCAAATACATCAATTATTTAGTCTTCCTTACACATTATTCAGTTTCACGTGTATATGAATGATTGAGTATATCATGGCTTGGGACAAGCACACCTTAGTCTTCAAATGACTTCTTTACTTTATGACACTTTAAAGAGGTCTGTTGAAGCAGATTTGCCTAGTGCAAAATGTCATTTGATTTCTCAACTACTTGCTGCTTCTCTGGATGTTGATTGTGAATCCAAGTAAAAGAAATTCTTGACAACTTCAATCTTTTCTTTGTTTATTTTCATGTTGCGTATCGATCCAGTTATGATGATTTTTGTTTTCTTTGTTTTGAGGTGTAATCCATACTGAAGGCTATAGACTTTGATCTTCATCCATAAGTGCTTCAAGTCCTCTTCACATTCAGAAAGCAAGGTTGTGCATCTAGATATTGTAGGTTGTGAATGAGCGTCCATCCAGTCCTGATGTTGTATTCTTCTTCATATAGTCCAGCTTCTCAGATTTGCTCAACATACAGATTGAATAAGTATAGTGAAAGAATACAGCCCTGAAACATACCTTGCATGATTTTAAACCATGCGATATGGTGTAAACATACTGCCTTTTGGTCTTTGTACAGAATCCCTAAGAGTAAAATTAAGTGTTCTGGAATTCCCATTCTTTGTAGTGTTTCCATAATTTGTTGTGGTCCACACAGTCTAATGCATTTGTGTGGTCAATAAAGCACAGGTAAACATCTTTCTGGTATTCTCTGCTTTCATCCAAGATCCATCTGGTGTCATCATTGGTATCCCTCATTCCACATTCTCTTCTGAATTGGCTTGAGTTTCTTGTAGTTCCCTGTCATTGTCCTGCAACAACTGTTTTTGAATTATCTTCAGCAAAATTTTAGTTTCTAAGGTTCCCTTAGCTCTGAGTCCATGGCCTTACCCACTGTAACGTTCCCATGGGTGGATTCCAAAGTCTGGAAGAGCATGGCAGCAGTTAAGAAAGTACCTGTGGCATTAACTAGATGGGCAGCAGTGGCCCTCGTCATATAGGCTGATGCCCGGCTCTAGCAGAATCAGTAAGGCTCTAGACAAAATTGCAGAATTTGTTTTATATTTGATCTTTTATTACACTTTCTTACCCTTTCTCTCTAAACTCTCTGTATTGTCTTCTGGCCTTACAAATTGCCACCCTTACTCTATTAAGGAAATAAATCTATAATTAGTGGCGTAATGTAGGGAGATAGCCTTTTAACCAGAATGGGCTTGTTAATCTTTGCAACACTCAATCTATTACAAAGAGAAGATTCAACAACAGTTTTACACCCTCTTCTGAAAAGTGACAGAGCTCATACATGTCCTAGGTTATAAATAAGAAATAGAGCAGAAGGCAGTTTCTGGCAGTCAGCTTGATCTCTAGTCACAGAAGTATATTCTACCAGTGATTCCTGAACACTGATGGGTAAAATTTTACTTATATCTATTCGTCATCTTTCAGTACAAGCAGTGGTGCATGGCAATGGACCAAGGAAAAATCCCTTCTGAAATAAAGGCCCTGCTCACTGGAGAAGAGCAGAGCAAATCTCAGCAGAATTCAAGCAGGCACACCAAGGCTGCGAAGACAGAAGCTAATAATAGTTCCTGTGAGTGCAGTGCATGGGAGAATTTTTATATTTAGAGACTGTCTTAAAGTGAGGTTTCTATTGATTGCTTTCCTTAATATGTCTTTAAATAAACATTGATGTCTTTTGTAATACACTAGTTAAGTTAATTAATATTTGATTCTAAATATTGAAATGCATCTGATATGGAGTCTTATCTATAAAAACAAGCTGATAAACTTCATAGAGACTTTTTATTATGTAGATTTAGCCTATAAGTGTGAATACCTTATTCTAGTCATTAATAATACTTTTGATTTATGTTTTACAAAGTACTTTCACTTATATTTATCTGAATTATTTCCTCCAGCAATTGTGTTGAGTTCTAAAAAGTTATTTTATAGATAAGATTAGATAGAAGAGGGGCTCAGTAAAGTATTGAAGGTAACAAGCTGTGTACATCCTGTCCTCACCCAGTCCAGGCCCTCTCTGGTACAATATGGTCTGTCACTGAAAGGGGTTGTTTAAATTGAGGTGGATTCCAAATAGCATACCATTTTAAAGTGAACAATTCAGTGATATTCAGTACATTTACAGTGTTGTGCAACACCATTGTAACAGCTACCTCTGTCTAGCTCAAAACATTTTTATCATCTTACTCTGTACCCATTAAGCAGTGGCACTCAATTCCCCCGGAGTCCTAGTATAGCGCTGTAGGTTAACGCACTGGACTACAAAGTTGGTTTGAACCGAAAGTTTGGTGGTTCAAGCTCACTAGTTGCTCCGCGGAAACCCTATACAGGGTCGGAACTGACTCAACGGCACCTACCAACAACAACAACACACATTTCCCCCTGCCCCCGGTAACCACCAGTATACTCTCTGTCTCATGGATTTTCCTATTCTGGACATTTCATATAAACATAATGTCTGGCATCTTTCACTTGTTGTTGTTGTTGTTAAGTGCCGTCGAGTCGGGTCTGACCCATATCGACCCTGTACAGGGTTTCCGAGGGTGTAAATCTTTACGGGAGTAGAAAGCCTCATCTTTCTCCCGCGGAGCAGCTGGTAGTTTTGAACCGCTGACCTTAAGGTTCGCAGCCCAATTCGTAACCACTACGCTACCAGAGCTCCTTTCACTTAAGATTCATCCATGTTATAGCCCACATCAGTACTCCATTCCTTTTTCTTGTCTCATAATATTCCATTGTGCATGCATTCATCACATTTGGATTGTTTCCTACTTTTTGGCTATTGTGAATAGTTCTGCTATGAATATACATATACAGGTATTTGTTTGAATACCTGCTTTCGGTTCTTTTAAGTATATACCATGGAGTAGAATTGTTGGGCCATATGGTAATTCTGTGTTTAATTTTTGAAAATTCTTTAAATTGTTTTCCACAGAGGCTGAATCATTGTACATTCCTATCAGCAATGTACAAGGATTCTAGTTTTTACACATTCTCACCAACATTTGTTATTTTCCTTTTTTTATGTTAGTGCCATTCTAGTGGGTGTGAAGTATCTCTGTATTATTTTTATTTGAATTTTTAAATGACATTAAGCATCTTTTCATCTGTTTATTGGCCATTTGTCTATATTTTTTGGAGGAATGTCTATTGGAATTCTTAGTCACTTCTTTAATTGGATTGTTTGGCTCCTTGTTGGTGAGTTCTTTATATATATTCTGGATATTAGATCCTTATCAGATAGGTGATTTGCAAATTATTTCTCCTATTCTATTATTCGATATGGTGCTGTGGGTTAATGCACTGGACTGAAAAGTCAGTTTGAACTGCAAGATCGGCAGTTCAAGCTTACCAATCTCTCCTCGGAAGCCCTATACCTCCTCGGTAGCTATGAATTGGACTCGACTCGATGACACTTAACAACAACATTGTTGTTTGGTGTTGTCATTGTGACCTTATGCATAATAGAACGAAGCACTGTCTGATTCTGTGCCAGCCTCACAATCATTGTTATGCTTGAACAAAAGATGAAATCCAGTTCATCTATTTTTTTTCTCTTTTGTTGCTTATGCTTTTGATGCCATATCTAAGAATCCACTGCCAAACCCAAGGCCATATAGATTTATCCCTATGTTTTCTAAGAATTCTAGGTTTTAACTCTTATTTTTAAGCCAGTGACCCATTTTGAGTTAATTTTATATTTGAAGGGTCTTCAAAAAGTTCATGGAATATGTATGTTATGAAAAAATTATATTTTTGGGATATGGATTTCAAAAGTATGAGTCCTAATTTTTTTTTTTTTTGCACTAAAATAATCTCATACTAACTTGTTATAACATGTCTGAACCGGATCTAGTTTGAGGTAGGATAAGGCAGCAGTTTAAAAAGTGCCCATATCATAACAACATGAATTCTACTAAAATTGAAGTAAGAGCACACACCAAATTTATGCTGAAGTTTGGGTAGAAGAAGGGGATACCAACTTCTACTGAAAATTCATTCTTTTTGAAACAGATTAAACTTCACTGAATTTTAAAAAAATCTTACATAGGTAACTTTGATTTATTTTTCAGGGTGAAAATCCTATCAGAGATTGAAACCAGCATTTTGATTCCCATGGACAATGAATGGTGAAGATTATACTTTGTGGCTCAGTTTACTACCTACTGCTCAATAGTCATCTCTGTAAATCTGCAATGTCTACCAAAATGTGTGATCATAGATTTCAAAGGGTCTTGCTTTAACCTTCCATATTTAGAAAATTTATAAACCTTCAGACCTGTTTTGGTTAGTTTTGCCACCATGGCATTTGACATGTCCTGATGCTTGAAAACACAAGAGTAGAGAAAAATGAGTTGAAAATTGTATTTTTGCACCTTCACTTAACATTGCTTTATTGGTTATTTATATCCTTTCTATGTAATTCATGTAATTTTAAGTGTGTGTGTCTGGTTGATGTCACTGCCTTTCATGTTTTTATTGCCCTACAAAGAGAAGCCAAATAGGTTGATGACTGACTGCAAGTTCTCAACCTTTATGGACCTAATTTTATTCCTTTATATTTACTTGAGTAAAGTATACTTTCTGCATGAACCATGATTTCTCCTGTGAGCCATTCCAGCATAAGCTGTGAATATGTATTAACAAATATACACATTTCTGTTTTTGTAATCCTTAATGGTATGCCTGTCTTAACTAGTGTACATGTTAGCAAAATCCATCAGGAAAGCCCTCAAGACATCTTCTGTGTATAACCTTTGTTGCTGTCATCTCAAACTATTCTTATAAAAGTTTGATAGCGCCTAACCATATTTGGAAGGAGCTCTGGTACTGTAGTGGTTACGAACTGGGCTGCAAACTGCAAGGTCAGCAGTTCAAAACTACCAGCTGTTCCATGGGAGAAAGATGAGGCTTTCTGCTCCCGCAAAGATTTACAACCTCGGAAACCCTGTACAGGGTCGCTATGAGTCGGAACCGACTCCACGGCACATAACAACAACAACTATATTTGGAGAATAATTAGCTAAATTTTATTTTATGCAAGAAGTAACCTTTCAGGCATGTGAGTGGCATACATCATCTTGCAACACAGAATCTGTATGTGTGTATTTTTTTTGTTATATGTCTGTCTATATATGTATGTGGGGAGGGCAGGAATGAATGTTCACACCCTTTTCTGTGTGTGTATTCAACTAACTCAGAGAATTTTTATGAATAGGATGAAACTAGCTGACGAGATCAAGTTTCTGCATAAGAGATACGGAACAAAATGAGTCACAAATTGCTGGTAGAGCTAATGTCTGTAACTATAGTCATAACACTTTGTTTCTTTGCTGACACGGAGTGTCCATATGAATGTGTTCTCAGCCAGAAAGAAACACACTGTAGGTGTGCATCTGGTTCAGCCCTTGCCATGCCACCGTTGTAGAATTAATATGCGTGCTGGAGTTGGGCACAGCACCTAAGCTAGTAGGCTTGGCAGGAGGGTCCCATCACAGCTACATTTGCTTTTCAGTTCCTATCACAGCTACATTTACTTTCTCCCTGACTGCTAAATAGAGTGATGCTTGAGGAATCAAGCTCATAATGTAACACACTCAAATGGACCTAGAAATCTTTTGATGACCCCAGTAAGACACTATTACCTTCTCTTTCTTAATTCAAAAGTTGTGTTCTCTGTTGCTGCTAAATAGTGATTGTTCTTTACTGTAATGAAGCAAATACTTGGCTTCAAACAGTGTTTTGTTATGAACTGGTCATTTATAAGGAGGCACAGATAATCACAGTAAAGATTATCTGTGAGGCGGACCACATAGTTTAAGATTACAAGGTCCATTTACCTTTCTCTCTCAGGCCATGAATTTTAATAAAGTTCCTAAAGACTTCATATGCTTAGGCTGCAAACTCAGATCTCCAGTCTAGTCTTGTGTGACTACTGATATACCACTAGCCCAGTTTATTGGGTCTCTCTGTGTTTTGGAGGACTTGGGGTTTAAGAGTATTTTTATATTTTAGGTTCATAAATGCTGACAGATTAAGGGTTGTTGATATTCAGGCCTTCAGAATTTAAGTGTTTTAAGTATAGTGTTCAGACTGTAATGGGTATGTTTTTGCCATCTGGTCTACTCAATTGTATATTTTTGTTTTGTAAAACATCCCAAGACTTATTTTATGTTACTTTGTTCAGTACCTTTTGAATTACCCAGAAGAGTTATTCTCAAAGCAAACATTCCAGAGCGAATGTGGCTCTTCAATGGAATGTCTCCATTGTGCTTGAAGCATTTCTTCCCTGGTTGTAATTGTACATTATGGGGTCAGGGTTGTTTGAACTATTATTTATTTATTTTTTCCAGTATCTTTGCAAGACCAGTGACTGTGTCCTCAGGTGGAGGACATGTAATTTGGGTGAAAATAAATTACAAAGTATTTGAGTTTATTCCTAAACCTGTCTATTTGATATTTGTTAGTAGATCAAACCAAGAGAAAGTTCCTTGGTCTTAAAAGAAACTTCCTTTGCTTTGGGCATTGTCTGACTGCACACTGTGGCCACTTTGACGCATGTTAATAAATGTCACTGATTAAAACGACTGAAGCATTTCCTTCCCCATTACGGGTAAGGAGCAGTGTAATGAAATCCTGGCATCTCTCACTCACCTGTAATGCCAACCAAAGGGCTTAGAGAGAACTAGAGGGTGAGAGAAGCAGTGAGCTCGGGCCTTCTACCACAGTGCTGATCTTCTTATTCTCTGAGTAAACCAAGTAAGATTTTCTTTTTCTAAAGAAAGAAACATAAAAGGGAAAATATATTTGTATATTTAGACCAGTCCTATTGTATCATTCATTTAGCATAGACCTGCCACAAAGCAGAGCAACTGAATATAATATGGAATAAGTGTGACCAGGTCAAATTTTAGGGTATAGTCTAAGTTCTTTAAAAATATCTCTATTATTTCTAAATCAGAATCTGTCTTACTATGGCAAAACTAGATCCTTTTTTACCAACTAATACACAATCTAATGTTTTATCTTCTGGCTCATTATAAAAAGCACAGGCTTATTAAACTAGATTTATCTTTAGTTAAAATAAAGGCAAAGAAGATTAAAAGCATAAATGCTCTATATCACAAGAAATCAGTTGCATATCATCAGCTACATATTTAGTTTTAAAAGGGAAGAAGATTATTATTAAACCACATGGTATTTTGGGGCATTGAAGGAGTTTTTCTTTCTCTGAAGAATTGTACAATTATATTTTTATGAAAAATAAAATATATTCACCAGAGACATCTCAAATTGTCTGTTTCATATACTGAAATTTAAGTATGTAGTATTATAGGTATTAAGGAGCTCTGGTAGCATAGTGGTTATGAATCGGGCCAAGAACCTCAAGGTTAGCAGTTCGAAACTACCAGCTGTTCCTTGGGAGAAAGATGAGTCTTTCTGCTCCTGTAAAGATTTACAGCCTCGGAAACCCTATGCAGGGTCCCTATGAGTCGGAGACGACTCCACAGCACATAACAACAACAATTATAGGTATTACATTTCTCAAGCCTTTTTAGTTTTATCCTTGTCTGTCCCTAGAATGGTATCGTTGAAACCTTTTCAGCAATAATGTTCTTGTTAAGTGCCATTGAGTGGGTTCCAACTCATAGCAACCCTGCATAGGGTTTTCAAGGAGCGACTGTTAGGTTTGAACCACCGACCTTGTGGTTAGTAGTCCAGTGCTTATCGTACAGTGCCATACCAGGACTCTAGCAATAATAGTCTTCTATTAATTAGGCTAATTTCAAGAACAAATCATTTTCCATCCAGCAATATCATCCTATAATTATCTACATAAAAGAACATTTTTAAAGTCTGCTGGATAGCTTGGTTCTCTTCTTCCCTTATTCCATCTGTTTTACTTAACTACAGAGTAGTCATGAATCAGAGCCAGGACTGACTTGTAAGGCTTTGCACAAAGGCACCCAGCAAAGGAAACAAATGGGCCTAAAATCTAGATTATAGCCACCACAAAAGCAAGGGCCACCTGCTTTGTGTTCACCAAGTCACACACAGGTATCTGGGCACAGGTCTGCCCAAAAGAGATACATTTTTCTAATTTGCTCAAAGGTGTCCCTTTCTCAATTTCTCCACCCAGAAGGGGATTCTTCTATATGTATAAAACTGGTGTGCTGCACTGACTTGTTGGTGCTGGCTCCTCAAGGGAGAGCTGATGGTGTGCATCTCTTCCCACCTCTGTGCCCAGTGACACCATATTGGTAAGTTTTAATAAGCAATGGTAGAAGTATTTATATCACAGGAATCAGCAAATGCTACAAATGAATGATTCTTTATCCTCCCTACCTCCCCAGAAGCTAGCATATAGCACTCTGCTAAAAAAAAAAAAAGGCCCAGGGTCCTTAACCAAAGCAAGCAAATTTGAGGCCAAAGAGTATATGAATGAAGGACACAGGGAGCTATGTTCACTCCTTATAAGGTTGCAGGCAGCTTAGAGTTGGCTATATCAAATACCTGTTAGTTTACAAGACATATGGTTGTATTTCAGAAACTCTATGAGTAGCAGATGAATGCCCAGCCCAACTCTAGAAATGACTAAGAGGTCAAAATAGCCCTGGGGTCAGAGTAAACAAAATCAGTTCACTTACTGGGTTGTCAGACAGTGCCCCTGCACTCCTTGGCTGGAGTGGGCTGGATTTGCACAGTGATGTCTGGTTTATATTCTTGACTCTCTAATAAATATGTGAGCCGGAGATACTTCCTGAAAAGCAGCAAAGCAATACCTAGGAAATACTTTGCAACCCAAGGCCAACATGAAATCAAGTCAGAAGACTGGACATGACAACTCCTGGGCCCAAACTATATAAGCTTGAATAAATAGCCCAGAACCAACTAGGCCAAAAGGCTGTTCCAGAGTGCAAATCAAGCTTTGGGTCTTACAACTTCAATGGAACAAAGACCAACCGTGCCAGCACCACAAGAAAAGAAACAGGACTTACAGGAATAAATAATGTTGTATGCCTTCAAGTCAATTCTGACACATCATGACCCAATGGGAGAGGAGCCAGGCTTTCTTCTCCCACAGAATGGCTTGTTTCAAACCACCAACCTTTCAGTTAGCAGCCAAGTGCTTAACCACTACACCACCAAACACAAAGTCCACTGCCATCAAGTCAATTCCTACTCACTGCAACTCTATATAGGGTTTCCAAGACCTAACACTGGCAAGAGCAGACATCCTTATCTTTTTCCTAAGAAGCGACTGTTGGGTGCAGTTAGCAGCCCAACACCTAATCACGGGCCACCAGTGCACTTTAAATAAATAATGCTTCTAAACCTGCCCCATTTTTCTCGGGTTCAAACAGCCCTGGACCCCAGCAGTTACATAGGGAGCAAGAACATCAAAAAAGGAGGAAAGCCAAAGTTACATTGCCAAGCCTCCTAAAAAGAGGAAGAAAGTTTATGTTGTGGTCAGAGAGAGAAAATGAAAGCTGGCAGGGTCTCTATTGTGGAAGTAACCACACCTTTTTACCACTCCAGGCCCCAAACGTGAAAAACCCAAGTACTGTATGAGCCTTTTAACCAGGCAGAGGACAAACTCCACCTCATATTAGCTAATGAAAGGGCTTTAAAACTGAATTCCAGTAGCATCACTCCTCTTCCTGGAGTGGGGCAGAAGGAAGGGGGCCAGGAGTGGTGGGGAGAGGGAGAATTAAGTGTTTCTCAAGGCAAAGAGATTCAAATCAGAAGCTCACAAATGAGTGTAAGAAGTAAACCAGAAATCTGGTCTAGAGATGGTAACTCATTT